TAATTGTTCAGAATACATTTTTTGTAACCGTGCACTTAATTGCAAATGTTGCTTGTATATGTACACATATTGTAATTTGATATATGAAAGAATCAATCTCCACATGAGTGTGTTATCTGTTTTACCATATGCCAACTGCACATTGATTTGTCACAATCAACTGATTGTCTAAATATTTACACATTTTGGACATTCCACTGAAATTTGCATTTATTATAAATTGAAGACATTACACTGTATAATCAACTTATGAATATATATGACTACACTTTCATTATGAAATTGAATGAATGCTTACAACTGACATAGTATGTTTGGTAGATGTAAACACAAAGTCCCCTGAGATTGGAGTTGTGAGTTTTAACCTAACCAGGGGTGTTGTGTCGTACCCTCACTTCAAGATTGGGTATTGCCTATACCCAATGCACGAGGATGCAATCGTAAATATAAAATTCTTGAGAATGAAATTAAATTAACCAGAGAAAATTAACTTGAAAATATTAATGATAAAGCTTTCAATGAACTACTTATATTATGTAAATCAACTACAGTTCCAGCCTATAGTTTTCTTCAGTTAGCATATTTCACAAACCTAAGTGTACATTTACAAAATAACATGTAAATATCAGTATTATCCCAAATTGTATAGAGTAGTTTCAGTAGTACGTTCAAAAATATATAGCTTCTAAGAAGATCTTTGAAGACTACAGTATATATATTCACAACAAGCATCTGTGTGTGAATATTCGAAACATCCAAGGTATGGTTTCAGAGAAGCAAAACACGGTATCAGAATTCCATCCAGTACTGTCATGTTACTGTATATCTTGATCCTGTTGTTGCAGTTGCAAAAAATCATATGCTTATTTTTAGGGAAACTTTTATTCAGATCAAACAGTAGATCTGGAAAATTTCCTACATGTCATATGACATGACAATCCTATGCATATACATCATACATTAAAGCAGGAAAGTTGTCACTTGTGCATGTGGATGGCCATAGAGTGCCATTGTTTACTAACAAGCGTCTACCCATGAGTCTTTGTGTTTTTAGCGTGCTTGTTATCATCACTTAGGACTCGCGTGCCTAGGTGACGACCCCTCCGCTTTAACTTCATATAAGATCCGGTGTCATACTGTAGTTTCAAAAAAAAATCTTTTGTGTCATATATCTTCTTAGAAGATACTATATATCATACTGTAGTTTCCAAGATCTTTTGTGTCATATTGTAGTTTCCAAGAAGATCTTGTGTGTCATATTGTAGTTTCCAAGAAGATCTTGTGTGTCATATTGTAGTTTCCAAGAAGATCTTGTGTGTCATATTGTAGTTTCCAAGAAGATCTTTTGTGTCATATTGTTGTTTCCAAGAAGATCTTGTGTGTCATATTGTAGTTTCCAAGAAGATCTTGTGTGTCATATTGTAGTTTCCAAGAAGATCTTTTGTGTCATATTGCAGTTCCAAGAAGATCTTTTGTGTCATATTGTTGTTTCCAAGAAGATCTTTTGTGTCATATTCCAAGAAGATCTTTTGTGTCATATTGTAGTTCCAAGAGAATCTTTTGTGTCATATTGTAGTTCCAAGTAGATCTTTTGGGTCACATTGTAGTTCCAAGTAGATCTTTTGTGTCATATTGTAGTTCTAAGAGAATATTTTGTGTCATATTT